TTGAATCTGTTTTTTTAGATTTGGTAAGATCTACGTTTGTGGGCTTGGGTGAAGAAACAGTCTTCATCAGACAGCAGAGGAGTGGATTGGCAGCTCCGACTGACGAACCGACTGGTGCCAGCATCTGCTTGAACAAGCTCCTACAGGCTGGAGGATGACGTTCAAACCGTCTGCAAATGACACACTGCAAAATCTGGCTACAGTTGATGTGGTATGGATATGATTAGAGCCGTGCTAAGATTTAACCTAAATAGATACTTAGCTGAGGACTATAAGACCTCACAAACAAGCAGCATTAGCCTGAGTGGTGCAGGTCCCACAGCAGCTACAATCCTTTTGCTTTCATTTGCACACAATTGCGACTTTCCCACCACTTGAGAAAAATGCAATGAAAGGTTTTTTTAAGGCCTGTTTAAAGTCATTGTGCGTTAGCAATGTGGCAACCCACCATGGACATAAAGACACAAACACAGGCATTCTGGGTAATTACTGCTAACGACCCCACCACTTGTTAGCCAGACCTTGTTTTTTAATTTTTTTTTAGCAGCCGTTGTTGCCAACACCCTGTGCCTGTGACATCAGAGTGTGTTTTGTTGTGGGTCAACTTTGCATGTGGACGCTTTTGATGAAAACAGACAGTGGCAGACGTGTGTAAATGCAATGCTAGCATCTACGCTATCGGGGCTCCCTCTGTGCCAGAGATGAGGGCGCTCATGGTACTGGATAGGGATGTTTCCAGATTTTATGGATGTGTGTGCACACCAGGACACAGTTAGTTCTTATATAGCTAGAGCCAATACGGTGGTCAATGTGGGAAACTGCAAAACAGCATCGTGAGAACGAGAAGAAAGTTAAAGCTTTTTTTTTTTTGAATGGCTTCCTAAAAAAAAAAAGTTATGACTGTGCAGTTCAGATTGGTTGCCAAAACCTCTGGTGACGCACACACAACATACAAAACAGGGATTTGAGTGTAAAATATGCCACCTCACGGGACATGCAAAAGGATTTATTTTGTGTTAATTTAAACTCAACATTAAAATAAAAATACTGAAACCACAAGACAACAAAGAGAAATACAAGATCAGAGTAAAGCTTATTTTTGGTTTAAGTTAAAAAAAAACTGATTTTGTTCCGGATAGACCAGAGCTATTCAACTAAATTGTTCAGAGGGCCACAATTACTCAAAACCAACAGTTCAGGGGTTGGATATCTGAGGCGGTAGGGGTGTTGTGTAAAGTAACAAGTATTATCTCTTACCATGTATATTTGATTTGTTTTGTTGCATCAAATCATAAATTTTAAATTTACYATTGATTTAAAATTTATTTTAAAATCAATAAAATAAAAATCCCCAAATTTTTGGGGGCGGGCTGGACAGAAGTCACCCGCAGGCCAGATGTGGCATGCAGGCCGCCAGTTGAATAGCCCTGGGTTACAGTTTTCTTTCTTTTAGGTGATTTATTCCAAAACTGACCTGCACATTTATATTGCTTTTATTTATTTTAATACAAGTAATAATCATAGGTCTAGCATCACTTTAAGGATTGCTTACTGCCCTCCGCCTTTTATGCTAAATTTTAGACTAAGATGGTCTCATGATAAGAAGGAATACAATCTGGTCAAACCCTGTAAATGATGTTATGTACAATGAAATGGGTTAGGTCTATGTGTTGACAATGACTCTTCACTACTAGTAGAACACCAAAAATGTTGCAGTCAAACATGTGACCAATTTGCAGTGGTGGCTATGATTCACTCTAATGAAAATCTGTCCACTGGTTCATCAGATATTTTGCCAACATAGATTTAAATGAATGCAGTTTACAGAAATGGGCAGAAACATTATCACCCTTTCACCTCCAGCAGCGACCACTAATAAAAGTTTAGGATTAATATTGATTATGAGCCCACTTGTATATAAATGCTCCCAGATTTCAATAATAAGACAGTGCCCTGTTTGGGTAGGGTGCCATCTCCTGGTTGGATCAAAGCATGTAACCTTGTATCCCACCCAGACATGAGGAAATGAAGGGGGCAGGGATAAAGGGAGGGTGGGGGGGGATGCGGCTCTCTGAAATTTTCCACTGAGTGTTCACACACAGGTCCAGGCTTTTATGACAGGTTTCACTTCATGACTTGCTCTTGAATTCATTCCTGTATTAATTTTTTTTAAACACATGATGGGTGGCTGTATGCAGCATGTGACTGTGGAGAAAGAAAAAAAAAAAAAGAGAGAGCCTGCAAAGCTGGCTGCATAAACCAGAGGAAGCAGGTAAATCATTGGTCATCTCAAGCTAGTAAAAGAGGCTTAGTTAAGAGACTTGGGGAGGAAGAACCTTCACAGAGAGCTGCACACACAAACTGTGCACTGTCTATAATAAGTAAACAGACTGTGGGTAATGGGGAGAGTAACGGGTTTAAGGCTCTGATCTCTCTAACTGCAGTCGGTGTGTTCTGCAGACGCCAGCTGGTAAACACACCAAAACGGACCAAGTCTGTGTTTGTGTGGGAAATACACACTCAACTGTACATTTAGTTAAAGACTGCCCGGCAATGCATAAAATAAAAATCAATGTTTGTCATTTGGAGTGTCCGGATGTAGAAAACCATCAGAAGCAGAAAAACAGTGCGTTTGAAAGGAGAAGGAAAAGAAAGCGGATGGACAGCTTAATGGCAGTGCATCTCCTTCATGTCTTATCTCCCTCCTCTTGTCTCCTGCCCTCCATGCAAGGGCAGTTTCTCTCTTCTTTATGACTCTTTATCTGACATGAAAGGCACTAACACGGGATAGCCGCCATTACGGCTCCGTCAACATGAAAAGCCCTGACATGAGATTCTCCGCAGCGGCTCAGCCCATTAAAGACGACTGGTGATCCTGTGCTCTGTCAAGAAGCCATCACGAGTAGACAGCGCCAACATAATGAGGACTTAAAACCTTAACCTTGCCTTTAAGACCCCCAGTCGAAAGCAGCAATAAAACCCTCATGAGGGCACCTTGGCYGGCCTGCTCTGTAATTACAACCCATGTCCAAGCACTGACCCAAAAGGTACTAGAGTTTAGATATCCAAAAGAGTGGAGGGCAGTTCAGATTTGAGGCTGAAGGGTCACTGGTCTAACTTTCCTCAAATTAGCAAACTAGCTGTCAAGGTTTTCCTTAAACTATGATACTGACACTGACCATTTCTCTCAATTTTTTCTATTTAATTCTTGATAAGAGACAACTCTGTAAAATATATCCTCAGACAAATCATAGAAGAGTAGCACTGTATAATATTCATCTTGATAATAAGTGAGAAGCCCGATTGAAAACTCAGTAAATTGGAATTTCCCCAAACGGGAAAATAAGGATTATATAGTAATAATAGACCAAGGATAATTACCCAAGATCYTCCATGTATGTGCTTAGTGTTTTTGTCTCTCTCTGATAGGTTGTTCCGAAACAAAATTTCATTGTGCTCTGTACAATGACAAATAAAGGCATTCTGAAATAAAATAATTGTACATAAGAAACACAAAAAGTATTAAAATTGATTTTGACCAATTTAAAAGCAGACAAGTTGTATAAAGAAGAATAAAAAGTGACGTAGTTGGGGATAAAACAAGCATCCTAGTTAATCCAAGTCTTTCAGGWACAAAGCAAATTAAACAGAAAAAACAAAAGAGACATTTTATCCACAGTCATTCCAACATAAATTCTCTGTACATAAGTTTTTCTCTTTCTCTCTCTCGACTGGCCTGGGAATGCCTTGGCATTAGAAGAGCTGGAAGAGGTGGCTGGGGAAAGCGAGGTCTGGGCCTCCCTACTCAAGCTGCTGCCCTCATGTCCCCATTCTGGAACAATCAATAGATAATGGATGGATAAWATAACAGACAGACTGAACATTGCTCAGGAAAGAAAATGATGAGTCACCTAACAGAGTAACTCTGCCCTGTTCGGTGGTGCAAGGCCTGGTGGTCCTTCCTCTGTAGAAGATAAGTTTCTCAAAATGTCAACTGTGTGTGACAGATGCTTAACTGGTAATCAACTGGCAGCTCAGTTTGCATTAGCTTCAGAAAGGAGCAGAGTTGTTATAGAGAAGTGAAATGAACCAAGGCCAGTCWTCATAGGATCTTGATTTTGTGGACAAACCAGTCCAACAATAGCTGGATCATCAWTTTTTTATGTGTGTGAAGTTGATCCATGCAATAGGAAAACTTCTATGATATTCTAGCCACCCWAGAGACCTTAGTTCTCATGTGTTTTAGCTAAAATGTTGGATGTAATAATCAAAAAGAAACAAACAATGTTACTTGGAGTGTATTCAATCTGCATAATCTGATATGCGTTATTAGTTTTAAAAGGTTTGTTGCAATTAGATGGTGCGTTTGTCAAACTATACCTTGCTTATTTCAGCCAAATAATGTCCGAACATGTTTTGCACATAAAACAAAAGCATGACTCAGTAAAAATAAAATAAAATAAAATAAAATAAAATAAAATAAAATGCTCGAGAGTTTAAATGGTCTGCTTGATGTTTGAAAGGTACAACGTTAAACAATCTAAACCAAAGAGGCACTGAACAATTAATGAGCTGAAATTTTTAATTTTAGGACTACCCTTACTTCAGAAGATTTGTTGAAGTAGAGCAGCTTCTGTGCCAACAATGAATATGTAACAATAAAGCTCCCATTAAAAAAAAACGTGCCAAACAGACAGAGAACAAAAAGCACAGCTAAAAATTAGAAAGAATGATTGAAAAATTACAAATATCCTCACAAACAGAGACCGCAGAAGACAAATCTGGTGTCAAATTCCTGGTCACTCAAACTTTTGTTTCCTTGTTTAAATAAGCAGTCACTAAAGTATCATTACCACTTGTTAATTTGTAGAAAAAAAACAAACTGTAGAGCACTGAGTAAAATGCTGTGGTGGAGCTATTCCCAAAATAGCATGAACACCGGCGCACTGGCCTTTGCAAAATCCCAACTTGTGAGAAAACAYGCATAAAAGCCTGCTTACCTCCTGACACCGGCGCATCCATGAACACAGCTCCCATCTTCTCAGCAGCTACAGCCATTTCTTTGGAGACAGCTGGATCAATTGTAGAGGAGTCAATTAATAGCGACCCCTTCTTCACTTTCCTGTGCAGAAGGAGACATGTTTTAACACGAAAGTTTCGAGAGGAAACAAAACATTTTGCAGTTGTATGAATGTCACAAAACTTTGCTTACTTTAGGATGCCGTTCGGGCCTGTGTAGGCCTCTATGACATTGGGACTAGACGGCAACATTGTGATGATACGGTCCGCTTTCTCGGCCACGTCTGCAGGGGAGTCCACCACCTGAATGTAAAACTCATCGTCAAAATAAAGCTGAAAATAAGTGTTGCCATGCTTTATGATCACGTATTATTAGGACGCTCTCACATGGGCACCGAGGTCCTGCAGCTCCTTGCAAGATTCTGGAAAGAGGTCAGTGGCGATGACAGGGTAACCATTTTTCACCAAGTTTTTGGCCATGGGACTGCCCATGTTTCCGAGTCCGATGAACCCCACTGGTGTCTTGGAGGCCATGGATCGTGTTGACACTGATGAAGGAAAACACAACACAGGAAGAGGAAAYGGGAGCCATTTTGTTTAGGTGAGGGCATTTATCATCAATGTCCCGAGAGGTTGTCTGTTCAAGAAGACAATAAAAAGAAGATAGGTTTTTGCAAAGCATTTGCACTCGAGAGATATTAATTACAATTATTAACACAGCAAATTGTAATGCTTTTGAAATGAAACTGTGACTGTGGTGAAGCTATGGCACACTAGTGGCTCAAACCAAAATCCACTCGGACATACCAGACTGAGGACAAACTGGAAATGAATCAGCCAGACTGCAAAAGTAGGATTAGGTCTGGATAAGGATAACCATAACAAGCTTAAATTATATTTAGCCAACTCTACAAAATATTCAGTAGGTGTTGATACTTTCGTGGGTATACAGTTTGCTTAACTGCACAGTGACCTAAAATTATCAAAACAATTTATTCTGCCCAGTTTTTTTCCCACTCAAAGTGTTAGCGGTTGCTTCAGTGACAAACTGACATCTAATGATGAGTTTTTAATGCCGTGACATGATGGGCGAAATCAAAATGGTTTTCGGTCCTTTCAGTGTCTCATCTCTTTCAGTGAGTAAGCATTTTATCATGTTAAGTTTTTTTTAATATATTTATTGATTTTTGCAATGATTATGAACAACACAAACAAAATAGAATAAAAAAAGCAGACAAAACTAAACAAAAACAAGCAAAAGTTAAACATTTGGCCCATTAACATATACATATTCATCTTCCTGCTCAGGA